CCCCCCCCCCCCGAACTATAAGATAATAAATTTGCATTGTTTTAAGCCAGTAAGTTTGTGGTCATTTGTTACAGCAGTAGACGGAGAAAAATACACTGGCTATAGCCTTTGCGGTGTGGACAGGTGAACATTGCCTTCAGTGGCCCAGATGAGGACTCATTTGGCTTCCTCTGCATTGGGGTTAGGCTCCTGGGCTGCCCGTTTGTCTCACTCACATCAGCCTGGACCACAGGAGGCAAACTTGAGGTGTGAGAAGTTTCCAGGACTTTCTGCTGGGTCCACCCAGAGGCCGCTGGCCAGTCTGAGAGCATCCGGGGGTGAGAAAAGCCTGCTTGGAAACTCATCCCAGCTCTTCCAATTTTAGGCACTTGCCTTCTAGAGGCACTTGCCTTCTATGTACCCCAGCCCAAACCCTTTCAAAAACTATGATTTCCTCAGCAACCTCATTTATCTCAGCCTCCCTTGGAGGTGAGCTTATTATGTCAAAATCTGGTCACATGAGGGGCATTGGGAGTGTGTTCCAGAGATTCTAAGTAAACCTTGGCCAGGAGGGGGAGTTGGGGAAGGCTGTGGTACCTTCTCTGACCACCCAGAAGTAACCCAGCCCTAGGGCCAGCTTGAGTTTTTATGGGTTTTGCGTCTCCAGAGAGAATACAGGGCTTGGAAGGGGCAAGCAAAGAGAGCGATTTCCTGGGGTTCTAAAGCAAGCCCGCCGGGGCCTTTATGGGGTGCTCATGGCCTCCCCATGGGCAGGAAGGAGGATGTCGCTGAGGGCACGTGGCTGGCCTCTCCGTGCTCCACATACGCTGGCTTCCCTCACTGCCACACTCATGATGCAACCTTCCGGCCACAGCCCAGACCCTCACCCGACCATGCTCACTTGGTCCTGGCAGCCCGACATTTGACCCCTGGGCTTGCATTTATGCATCCGTATCATTGCAACTGTCCATGGTGGCCCTAACTCATCCCGTGGCCAAGATGGAGCAACCTCACAGTCTTACCAAAATGTGGGCTCCTCAGCCTCATCTTCCTGGGGGCCAGGCAAATAGTTCAGCTGCAAAAAAAACTGCTCTGTTCTTGCTGTTGTGTTCTAAGCCCAAAGAAGGGGCCAAATCAGACTCAAACCGTTTGTGTTTCTGTAGCTTTATTAGCCAGGGATGGAAACACAGCTGGACCCACACAACGCACATGTAACTGACACACATCTGGAGAAAACCACCCAACCCCTCCCCCCACTCCCCTGCACTCAGAGCGTTTCATTCCCAGAGTTGCCCCCTTGTGAGCCGTCTCGGTGGGTCCGGCCCCACCAGGGCCCCCTCTCCTGAGGCAGAGCAGGATATGGAAATATTGACCAGGAGTCAACAGAAAGCCTAGGACTGATTTTACCAGGGCTCTCCCCTCCTGCAGAGAGGCCCCAGGGCCACTGATGCACCCCATGTATTATGAAGGACATTTTTCACCCTTGCGCCCAGTCTTACCAATCTCTGGGAATTCCCCAGATATTTTCATCTCCAAGAAATTCCAGGAGGTCTTAGAACCAAGTCAGGCTTCTGAACATCAGATGATGAGATGTTTCTAAGGCTAAGTAAGGGGTGACTATCATTGCTTCAACATGCGTCTGGAAGCACCTACTATGTGAAAGCTCCTGCTGGGCCCTGGGCGGGGGTGGCGTTCAACATCTGGTCAGGAGCCTGGGAGTTGGAATGCTGGTCCTGCCTCTGCTCCTTTCCTGTGGGTGAGGCTATGGGCTGGATCTCTGTCCTGTGACTTTAGGACGTTAGTTCCCCTGTAGCTCCAGAGGCAATCAGACCAAAGCAGGATTGTGGGTCCCTCCTCTGTTAGGCCAAGAGGGCAGAGGAGATGCATGGATGTTTCTAGACCCCAAAGTGAATTAGGCCCCATACAGAGGATTTGGGGGAAGGGGGGAGGGGGATGTTTGGAGGAGTTCCCGTGTGTCACGTTGATCCGCATGAGAGGCCACAAGAAATGAGGTCCTTCTTATTGGGAGGCCAAGGGGAATCAAGGCTGAAAACCAAATGGGTTGCAGGTGAGGCGTGAACACTTCTAAGGAAAAGGCTTCCAAGAGGGTGTTCCATCTGGAAACTTGGAGTCTCTTGACACTTATTGTTCAGGGGCCTGTCTCAGTCTCCATCACCCAGGCCGACATCCCACCCCAGGGGTAAAGGATGGTGGGGGGATGGGCTCAGGGCACCATGTTCCCCCACCTGAAGGAGGAGGGCTGCCGGCGCACGATGGTGCCGCAGTGCACCTCCCCGTGCAGTTGTGGTATAGGGTGAAGTCATCGATGAAGGTGCACCGGAGGCCCAGCGGCTCCAGCAGGGACCGCACCTTCTCCCCCAGGCAGCAGCGGCCGTTGATGACGGGCCCGAAGGGCTTGGGGATGCCCAGGTGCTTCCCCAGCACCAGCATGTTCACCTGCAACAAAGGGGGAGCCCAGGTCAGGGGCGGCACTTCATCATCGGCTCCCACCCCAGCACCCTCACTATACCCGGCAGGACCTGGGTTTGTCTTTGAGGCAGGCCTGCAAATAGCTACTCGCCTCTTCAGGCAGTGGGAGAACTTGGGCTGCTAAGAAATCTGGCCAGCTGTGCATCGCCACGGGCACGTCTGCGGAGTTCACAATGACAACTTATTTCTCCGGTGACTGCCCTCCTTATCGGTGGATCATGGTGGTTGCCATGTCTGTGCTACAGAATCCCAAACTCCTAGGCTGTAGCCAGTTGGCCCAGGGTAGACATATGACCCCAGCTGGATCAATCAGATTCTCTCCTCGGGTGTTTGAAGTTGATAGGGTGGGAGAGTGGAGTCAGTCTCTGCCTGTGTCTATACTTATATGTGGCCATATTAATATTCATCCCCAGGGACAGAGAAGCAAAGGAAGCCAAGAAATGGGGGAGGAGAGGCAGGGAAGGAGAGGGATGAATGATGTAGACGCAGAGATGAGAAATGGTTCCACGTGCCCCTGACGTCCCCCACAGCTGCCCCTGGCTTTCCTGGTGTCCTTACACTAAATCTTCTGCTCTGGCTGAAGCTGGCTTGAGTGGTCCTCTTTCCTGCAAACACAAGAATCTGGACCAGTGCACAAGCTTCTTGGGGGCACAGACATAATTGCAAGGCCTCCTTAGAGATGCAGGAAGGAAAAGGAGTGATGAGAGGCTTTATAAGCGGGGAAATCAAAGAGGGCAAAAAGCCAGAAAGGGGAAGGGAAAAAGGAGGGATGAAGCAATGGTGGTGTGGACAGGCCCCCTGCAAGCCTCTGATGACGGGCGAGTCTAGTTCCTCTGGGGGATGGAGGTGTAGAGGGCTTGAAAGGATAGGGGAAAGAAGGAGGAGGAAGCCGGGTGATTGACAGCAGTGATCTCAAAGTGTGGTCCTCAGAGAGTAGCAAGCATCACCTGGATGCTTGCTTGTTAGAAAGGCAGCAGTGTCTCAGGCCCTTGCTGGATCAGAACCCCTGGGGTGAGGGCCCAGTGTTCCAGATGCAAGTTCAAGTTTCCGAGGCAAAGCCCTCAAGGCTCAATCAAAGGCCACTTCTTCCATGAAGCCCTCTTGGATTTCCAGTTCTACCTCTTGGGCCGGAAGTGCTTTGTCCCATCTCTGAACTGCCACATCACTCTATTATACAAAGTAGATTGTTGGGACACATCCTCAGAGAGGTGAAGAGAGTTTTCCCCTGAACAGATTTGACCGGCAGCTCCTTGGGAACAGGGAGCAGCCTTAATCACCTGTGTATCTCACACAGGGTACCCTAAATATGTGGACGATGGTGAAGAGCTGTTTACTGGGAGAAAGGGAGCAGAATGGGCACCTGAGATTCCAGTGGATACTACATGCTTTACATGCACAGCCTCATGCAATCTTTCATTCACTCCACAAATATCAAGTGGGTCCCTGGGAGGAGAGAAGCGCCCTTCCCTGATGGCCCCTGAGCAAGGGCTTGGCCAATGAGCATTTCATAGTGACCACGACAATCGGCCAATAAGAAGTCCTTCTGCTGGGCACCATGGGACCTCTGATTCCCCCTGCCGCCGCTACCAGCCAACACAGTCCCAAACATGGCAGCGACCAATCGTCTTGCCCGCTGGGGAGCAGAGGCTCAGAGCTTAATTTGACGAAACCTTAAGTCATGGGTGGTGGCCTCACCAAGTCAGGGAGGAAGGCCCCCGCCTTTCTCTCTCCATCTTGAAGAGTGGGGGGATGTCGATGATGTCACCACTGGTCAGGCCCAGCTCCCGCTTCAGCGCCTCCCGGTTCCAGTCGACACAGCTCTAGGAGAGGAGGAAGGAAGAGGTAGGAGACCTTGCCCGTATTGGAGGGAACCCCAGGGGTCATGTCTGGTTAAGGACGGGCAGGATGCCCAGAGATCAACTCTCCACACAAACCTTCTCTTTGTGCCCCTTCATCAAAATATACCTGCCCCGTGTCCCACCCCTCATAGCCCTATCCCATTAGCCAGGCTCAAGTGAGAGTGTTCCAGAGTGTTCCATCCTTGACCCTCTCCTTTCTCTAGATCCTTCACTTCTTAGGGGACCTCCTTCAGTCTTTTTTTTTTTTTTTTTTTTTTTTTTCTTTTGGCTGCATTGGGTCTTAATTTCGGCATGCGGGATCTTTCGTTGTGGTGTGCGGGCTTCTCTCTAGGTGTGGCACATGGGCTTAGCTGCCCCTCAGCATGTGGGATCTTAATTCCCCGACCAGGGATCGAACCTGAGTCCCCTGCACTGGAAGGCGGATTCTTTTTTTTTTTTTTTTTTTTTTTTTTTTGCGGTAAGCGGGCCTCTCACTTTTGTGGCTTCTCCCGTTGCGGACCACAGGCTCCGGACGCGCAGGCTCAGCGGGCATGGCTGGGGGGCCCAGCCGCTCCGCGACATGTGGGATCTTCCCGGACTGGGGCACGAACCCGTGTCCCCTGCATCGGCAGGCGGACTCTCAACCACTGCGTGGAAGGCGGATTCTTAACCACTGCACCGCCAAGGAAGTCCCTCTCCTTCAGTCTTATGGTTTAAAACACCAGACACTGACAACTCCTAAATTTCTATCTCCCAACCGCTTTATAGAGCCCAGCCTCTTTGCTGAGCTCAGACGTGCAAGCATAACCAGCACTTTGCATCTTTACCTGGATGTCTAACGGGCACATCAGATGTGACGGGTCCAAAGACAACCTCTTCATTTCCACCCACGCCCCCGCCCCATTCTTCCACTCTGTGAATGGACCCATTGCTCGGGCCAAAATCCCTGAGGTCATCCTCGATGCCTCCTTTCCTCTCACTCAGCATCCATCATCAGCCAGTCCCGTGGGCTCTAATTCCAAAATATACCCCCGATTGGACCCCTCCCACTACCTCTATCTCTTCCAGCCCGGGGAGAGGCCTCCCCGCCCGCCTGGCTGCCGGCAGCGGCCTCCTCACTGGCCTCCTGGCTTCTTCTGGTCTTGCTTCATGTGGCGGCCATGACAATGCTCCTCGAAGACCTCCAGCCATGGGAGTGGAATTGACCGAGGGCCCAGCTGCCCAGATCCAGCTCTGAAATCCTTCCTGTGCTGGCGCCCCCCCCCGAGGCCACACCTCCCACCAGCTGCTAACAGCCAGTGGCTGAGCTCCGCAAGGATACTAAGGCAGACAGTTTCTGGGAGCTGGGACCCTCTGATGGCTGATTGGCTTGCAGAATCCCGCAGTTTGGCAGAGCCTAACTTGACTGTGTGGCAGTAAAGGATGCATCCACCCTTCCTTCCCTCTCCTTGCCTCAGGACCAGCTCGCCCAGCCTCCTCCAGCTCCCTTCCTCTTTGCCTCCTGCAGCATTGCCCCTAATAAAACCCTTGCATGTTTAACCCCCAGCTTGGCATTTGCTTCTTGGAAGGCCCTGTGCTGGATATTCTGTTTGCTCTACTGGACCCATTGTCACCCATCTTATCTGCTCTGTGCCCTAGGAGGCTGACCCTTGGGAATCAGGGGCTCCCCTACCCCCAGGCTTCTGGTTGGGTTCAGCCAATGGGGGCACTGGCAGAAGGTGGGGGGCCTGGCAGGAGAGTGCAGTTGGGATCTTTGTTCCCCCAGCTCCCTCCGTGTCAGGTCACTGTGGGTTGGCTGTGAAGTCCCAGCTGCCGTCTCATAGCCTCTTTTTGTAGTGACCCCTCCAGGTTCCAGTAACATCTTCCTTGCCTAATTCCTCCAGGCCCAGGGGTGGTGACGGCTCCCCTCTTTCTACCCTGGGGATATGGAACAGGCCTTTGTTGATTTCCTCAAATCTTCCCTATGTCTTTGTAAATATTCTCTTTGTTAAACTTTTCTACAGCTATCTGCTTCAAGTGCCGTATGTTTCCTGCTGGGACCTACTGTCACCAGTCCCCACCCCTCGCCATAATAGAAGATATATTCTCGACACAGCAGCAGAGAGATCATTTCAAAGCATAAGTCCTCTGCTCAAATCCCCCAGTGGCCTCCAATCTCAGAGTCACAGCCAAAGCCCTAGTGATGCCCTACAAGGCCTTGTGGGACCTGTCGCCCCGCACTCCACGTGGGCCTCCTGGCTTGTCCTTAAACACCCCAGGCCCCTCTGTTCCACCTCAGGGCCTCGTCTGTGCTGTCCCCTCTGCCTGGAATGTTTGTCCTCCTCACATGCGCCTGCTTACCCCTCCCTTCTCTCGGGTCAAAGTCTGGGCCTGCTCCAGCCTGAGCTTTCATGAACTGCGAGCTTCAGACCCCCGTCCCCATCCCGGTCCCCAGTCATGCCCAGCTCCCACTCACAGCCCACGGCCCTGTACCTGGACAAACTTATTGTAGCTGATGAGGTTTTCATTGGAGAGGACCTGGTCGATGGAGATTGCGTTGACCTGCTGATTGCCTGTGAAGGAGAGAGAGACACGAAGGGCAGGGCGAGAACAATGCCAGCAGGGAGGGCCACCTGCTCTGGGAAGCAGCCAGGCAGAGGCCAAGTTCGCAGGTACCGGTCTTGCTGAGTCAGCAGCTCCCTGGCCTTTCCCCTTGGCCACTATGTGAGTCTGGGCGTGTGAGGACGGCAGGGGCAGGTGGCTGCAGTGCCATGAACTTTAGACCCTCATCTGAGCACTTCGGAAGTGGTGACACCTTTTATTGGAAATGTACAGCCTCCCCCACTCCCACCAGGGCACTGGGTGATGATCGCTCTTTTTTGGCTAGTGGTGGGACAGGGAGCTGGGTCACCCACCTGCCACCAGTGCCAGCCCTGACGGACACTACTGGACCCTGTACCTGACCTCCAAGAGGTGACTCCATGGCAAAGGGGCTCCCCCAGGCCCAGCTTTCCTGCAGCCTTGATGAGGTGCCCGTGGAGACGGGCGTGATAGGGGAGGTCAGAGCCAGTGGCTCACAATCCTCATGGCTGCCATTTATTAAGCTCTTACCCTGTGCAGGCCCTGATTCCAGCGCTCTACACTCAGCACTTCATTTAGGCCTCATGGCAACCCTACAAGGTATGCATCATCATCCCCACTTTACAGATGAGGAAACTGAGGCTCAGAGAAGTAAAAAGACTTGCCTCAGGTCTTGCAGCTAGGAAATGGGGGTGCTTGTGATTCAAACCCAAGCCCAGTGCTCATGAAGGGGTGAAGACTTGACCAAGGGAAAGGAGAGGGCTTGCTGGCCACCCCCCCCCTGCCACAGGCTTGACATCCCCCCCACCCCAGCTGGAGTCCAGACCCAGCTCCACTGCATTCTTGCTGAGGCCTCTGGGCCAGCGACTTGCCCTCTCTGAGCCTCATATTCTGGCGTGTGAAGCAGAGTGACAGTGATCCTCACAGGCTCTCCTGAGGTCAAATGGGGTAACCTGCATGGACCACACAGCCTGGGGGCTGGTACACAGTAGGTGACCACTGAGGTGTGCTGGGCCTCCACGGCCACCACCCTGGGCATCAGCTCTCCAGAGCCACACAGTGGCTATGTGTGTGGCCTGACAGCTGTGAATTCCCTCACTGTCCTGCTCAGGACGGTGCTCACTGTAAAGCAGTACTTGTAAGAAAGATGAAGATAGCTTTCTCCCTGCCTGGTACCTGAAATTTGGATTTGAGGACTTTTTCAGGTTTCATCTGAGCTCAAAGGAGTCTATTCATGGTCCTTGTGGGAGTGATGGGTTTGGGGGAAATTGTATTTCTTCCACTTTATAGCTGGGGCTTTGGGGTGATGGTAGTGAGGGGTGGTAAGGGGACGTGAGAAGTTATACTTGGGAACTTACTTCTAAGTTCTATGGAAGCTTTTCTCTCAGAGAGAGGTGTGGTCCAGGGTGGGACTGTTCATGAGCCCAGGCTCCAAGCCCCCAAAAGATGCTCCATTGATCAATCAGATTTTGCTCACAAAACACAAGTTATTAAGATTTCCAAGACAGTGAAGGGCAGAGCATCAAATCCCAAGGGCTGGACCCTTCTGAGCAGAGGGCCCTGTATGGCTGCCCTGGTCACGTGCCCACAAAACTGGCCACATCTCCACTCTGTCCACACCCACCCCAAGCCCATCATCCATCACAGAGCCCCCTGCCAGCTCTGCCCCAGCCATGGACAGTGGTGTCTGGTGGAGCAAGGGATCTCACACCTGGGAAGACAGCCCTGTTTTAAAATGTGCCCTTCCTCCCTCAAGCCACGACGTGTCTTAATTTAGGTGACGGGGGTGGGAAAGCTGTGATGAGGGACACAGCACTGATACCCACCAATAACCTCTTGGAACAGGAGGGCCGTGCCATGGCCCTGTTTCTGCTTTTCCTGGAAGAGCTTGAAGCAGGCGCTAGGGCTGGCCAGGAGCGTCCGGAAGCCCTGTGTGGAGAGAGCAGATTCCATTGAGCTCCCCGGCCTCAGCATGGCTCCTTGGAGCTCATCCCCTAAGCCAGAGCTGTCTCCCGAGTTCTTACCTTCCCACCGGGGGCAGGGACAAAGCTCAGAAACTCATCCACATGGCCCACGGCCAACCAGTCCACAAAGAGCTCCACAGTGGCCGCACCTTCTGTGCGTGGAGGAAGTCCCGAACCACCTGGGTGACCCTGTGGCCCCTTGACCTGGGGCCCAAGGGGTTAAAAAAGAAAAGTTAACTAAAAATATACATATATGCAGAAATGGAATGACAGGAGTTCAAGATTTCTGCAATATCTGCCAAAAAATGCATTGCTTTTGTAATCAGGAAAGACAATAAATAGATATATATTTAAATTACACTCGGGGCTTCCCTGGTGGTCCAGTGGTTTAGAATCCACCTTCCAATGCAGGGGACACGGGTCTGATCCCTGGTGGGGTAACTAAGATCCCACATGCCGTGGGGCAACTAAGCCTGCACGCTGAGACTCCTGAGCATGTGAGCCACAGCTAGAGAGAAGCCCATGCCCAGCAACGAAGATCCCGCGTGCCGCAACGAAGACCCAACGCAGCCAAAAATAAAAAATAAATAGGCGTGGACTTATATATACTACCAAATGTAAAACAGATAGCTAGTGGGAAGCAGCCGCATAGCACAGGGAGATCAGCTCAGTGCTTTGTGACCACCTAGAGGTGTGGGATAGGGAGGGTGGGAGGGAGATGCAAGAGGGAGGGGATATGGTGATATATGTTTACGTATAGCTGATTTAGTTTGTTATATAGCAGAAACTAACACACCACTGTAAAGCAGTTATACTCCAATAAAGATGTTAAAATAAATAAATAAATAAATAAATAAATATGTGTATATATATATATATATATATATATATATATATATATATATATATATATAAAGGTAAATCTAAAAATTCATCTTATTCAGGGCATGTTTTCCACTTGGAGGTCAATCACACCAGGTCAGTGACCCACCCAGGTCTCACCATCCAGGCAAATCCTCAGAACCACCCTCAGACCCCATCCTCACATTCTCTAAGAGACTGATTTCACCCCCATATTCAATCACCGGCTGGGCAGTTCTTTGTAGAGTTTAACTTACATCTCTCTTGCTGCAGCCTTGCCTTCCTGCATATCAGTGAGGGGAGAGGGTGATCTTTTCTCATAGCCCCGGCATATTATGTTCATGAATTTAAACCCCATTCTTCTCTTGCCTTCTGAAAAAGTATCTAATGGCATGGCCCCAACTTCCTCTTCCTGTGAGATCATGTGTTTGAGGGCAGGTAGTCCCCTTCAAAGCTTCTTGTTTCACCTGTTATTTGATCACAAGTCTGTTCTAACTGCTTTGCTGAATTTGGTTGGCTCAGTTTTGGTCTATTCCATAGCAAATAACCATTATCATATAATTCCTTTCCTTTTTCATCAATATCCCTGTGTCACATATTGAACAAGACATAATCAGTTACACTCTCTCTTTGTGTCACTGCTGTCTCAATTTTCATGTCCTATACCTCCCTTTTGCTCTCAGGACAAGGTCTGATATTAGTCATTTACATCATAGTGTGAACAAGCATTGATTTAAATGCAATTTCTCCTGGGACTGCTGAGACTTAAAACTTTTTCATCTATAACTATTATTTGATGTCAACATCTATTTATTTTCTGAATCAGAAGACCTAAGTCTAGTCATAACTTTGCAGCCTGTGTGACCTTTCCCAGGCCACTCACCTTCTCTGGGCCCACTTATGAAATGAAAGGGTTGGACTGAATGATCTCTGACGTCTCTGCTTGCTCCGGTCTTCTCAGACTCCCCGAGGTAAGTGTGGACAGTGTCTGGAGAATCGTCTTCTGCTCCCACCCCACCACATCCAGGTCTACAATTTCATCACTGATTTTTTCTGGTTCTCTTCCAGGAGCAGAATGGCCCCTCCCCCAGCCACCATCACCACCCCACCCTCAGTCTCCACCCCAGGAACACCTCTCTCACCCAGGCAGGTTGCCACCAAAGAGGATCCTCCCCAGGGGGTATTCTTTCCCATTGGCCACCACTGGGGGGCTGACCTCCAGGTTCCCAAAGGAATCCAGGCCACTTCACAGAGTTGTCTCATGGTTCCCGAGTCACGTAGCCAAAATCTGGACCCTGGTAGGGGAAGTTGAATCAGGCTGGGAGTGGGGAGGCTCACCAGGAAGAGCTTGAACCTAGCTGTTGGGCTTTGAGCTCCTTAGAGTGGGAGTGACCACACATTCTTCAGATGGAAATACTGAGTCAAAGATGGGGATCTGACCTAGTGGTATTTTATTCACGCCTGCCAAGGTTGGGACACACACAGCCCACTGACTGGCCCTGCTGCCATATTAGAGAACGTTATTCCCCATGGCGATGGGAAAACAGCAGAGAGGGCCCTGGCTGCTCCAACACTCCCCATTAGCCTGAGGCCACGGCCTCCCCCTTTACCCTCTGCACGGCCTTCCTGCCAAGTCCAATCCAAGGCAGGTATCTGGCTGCTCTAGAGTGGCCTACTTTGGGGACAAAGAGGCTGGTCTCAGTTTTTCAACTGAGACTCAGTTTTTCAACTCTGGAAAAGGGGAGAACTTCCCAGGGCCATCTCTTAGAAGGAATTTAGACAATATCGAGGGGCCAGGGGAGTGCTCCTCCCATCTTTGTGATCCAATAAGGTGTTGGAGAAGTTCTCTTTGGCACGAGGGAATCTCCCCTCTTTTCTCAGGAGAGGTAGATTAAGACACTTTTTTTTTTTAATTTTATTGAAGTTTAGTTGATTTACAATGTTGTGTTAATTTCTGCTGTACAACAGAATGACTCAATTATACATATATCTCTGCTTTTTCATATTCTTTTCCATTAAGGTTTATCACAGGATATTAAATATAGTTTCCTATGCTAGACAGTAGCACCTTGTTGTTTATCCATCCTGTATGTAACAGTTTGCATTGGCTAAGTCCAAACTCCCAGTCCTTCCCACCCCCACTCCCCCTCCTCTTTGGGAACCACAAGTCTGTTCTCTATGTCTGTGCATCTGTTTCTGTTTCATAGATAAGTTCATTTGAAGACACCCTCTTTATTACCAATAATCATACGAGCCAACTATGTTGTATGCTTTCTTCATGTAGGCATGGAAAAGCCTCACAAACACCTTTGAGGCCAGGGCTAACATATTTTTACTGATGAGGAAATTGAGGCTCAGAGAGGGGAAATTATTTATGCAAGGTCACAGAGCATGTGAGTGACAGAGCCAGGCCGTCTGACTCCAAAGCCTATGCTCTTAACAGCTGCACTGTCCTGCCTCCTCTCCCCATCTCGGGCTGCCAGATTTAGTAAAAAAAAAAAAAGATACAGAATGCTGGGCTTCCCTGGTGGCGCAGTGGCTGAGAGTCCGCCTGCCGATACAGGGGACACGGGTTCGTGGCCCGGTCC